GCACGGGGGGGACCCGCGCGTGGTTGGGGGCGATGCTCCCTACAAAAAGGGGCTCCCTCGGGGGCTGCCAGCACCCGAAGCACGGAGGGATCCTTAATTTTAGGCACCCAAACCTCCCGTTAGCAGGAGCCGATTTGGGCTGCGAGGGGCTCTTGGTGGGGAGAGGAAAATCAGGAATAAACACCGGGGATGTGGCTGAGGGGTGGGCAAACCCCGCTGCAGGCCAAGTGCAGCGATTCCGTGCTTTTGGGGCGTTTTTCTCTTGGGGTTTCGGGTGCTGAATGCCAGGCAGCTCCGACAACCCCCCCCCCAACAACCTGCCTCGTTCCTGGGTCATCTCCTGGGTGGGATGAGGTGAGCTGGGAGCAGAACGGGACCAGGGAATGCCCCAAACCCGAGCCCCAGAAGCTCGGTTACCCCAAATTCCCTTTCCCAATCCCGTGTTTCGGCGGCGCGGAGCAGATCCTTTTTGGGGCCGCCTTTGTTCCCGGTGCAGGGCTGCTCCTGCGCTGGGTCAGGGCTTTGTTATTTCAAGCCCACGAGGTTGTGTAAACACAGGGACCCGGGCAGGGCAGCGGGTAACTCTTTGCCTCCCGCTTTTATGGCAGAAAAGAAGAGGAAGCCCTGCTGGCGGGGACGCTCGCATCAGGCCCCGTTTGGTTTCGGCAGGTACCTGGCGGGGTGGGGAGCGAGGGACGTGCTCGGTGCCCGAGCACAGAGCTGTGTTTTGGGGGGGTGCAGAGCTGATGCCCGGGTTTTTCCAGGCTCGCGTTCGCTCCCCGTCCCTGTTTTGTTGTTTTATTTCGGTGTTACCTTATGGCTCGCTTTCTGTTTTAAGCCAGCGCTTCTGGAGAACGGGGACTTTTTGGGGCAGAAGCCTGAGAAATTGTTACTGTCTGCAAAGTTGTGTGGAAGCTGAGATGAGGAGAGGGAAACGGCGACCGCTCACCTGCGGCTGAGCCCCGTGCTCCAGCCCAGGGCTTTGGCACCCAAAGGCTGGGTGGTTGAGCTCGAAACCCTCGGGGCAGGCTGTGGGATCAGGCAGGAGCATGGGGTTTGAGGAGGGGGCTGTGGGGGGGGTCCTGGCTGCTCAGAAATTCTCCCCTGTGCTCCCCGAGCTGTGTTTGGGAACGGCCACGACCACAAAAGGCGCTGGTGCTGGGGAAGGCGTTTTGGGAACCTCGCATCCTTCAGTGAAGTGGGGGCAGGATTCGGGCTCCCTGCCCGTCTGTGCTGGCCGGCCAGCAGCACGTCCCTGCTGTAATTAGCGCGGCCAGGCCCTAATTAGGCGGAGCAGCAGCTCTGGGAGGGGGATTAGGTGAGCGAGTGCCCGGCCTCAGCCTGCGCCACCTGCGAGAGGCGGCGTGGGGGCTGTGGGGGCTGCTGCCCGCTGTGTCCCCGTGTCCCCGTGTCCTCCTCCTGCTGCTTCCTCTGCCAGGAACCACTGGCAGCTCGGGCAGGAGTGGAAGCGTTGAGTTTTTGGCAAAAAAGAGGCAGAAATGCCCCCACCTGCCTTTCCTCCCCGGCTGCGCGCTGACACCGGGGCAGTGAGGAGCACCGGAGCCAGGTCTGGTCTGCAGGTGAGGGGTCCCGGCCTCATTTGTGGGGGGCACAGCCTGCATTTTGGGGGTCTTCGTGTGCTCTGGGGCCATCGGGAAGCCCCCAGGGCCCCCCCAGGAGAGGTGTTGGCCCGCGCCGTGCCCAGCAGGAGCAGGGCTGGCCGGCGTGCGGGGCTTTGCCTCGCTTCGTCGCGGGCGCCGCTGTTAATTGGGGCCTGTGCAGGGCAGGTAATTACTGTTTTGGCTGCCGGGTTCCCTCCCCGTGGGTTCCGCCTGAGTCACCCCGAGACGAGAGCCAAGGCGGTGGTGTCGGGCCCCATCCAGCCGGGCTGCGGGGCCATCGGGGGCACCCCCTGCCCTCCTTCTGCACCCCGGCACCGTCCTTGGCTCCGTCTGAGCGCTCGTGTCGGGTCTGTCCCCGGCTCGGAGGTGACAAAGCTGACACTCAACGAGCTCCTGGCCACAAACACGGAGCTGAAGGCAGGGCGCTGGCTGAGCAAATTTGTTTATCAAATCGGTGTTCGAGTCAGGCCGAGCTTGGGTACGTCCGCGGGGAGCTGGAGGGCTCGCTTGGAGCCTGGGATATTCACGCGTGGCTCTAAAAGAAAAATCCATTCGGAAGTTATTTGTAGCAGGCTGCCTGACCTGCTAAAAGACGCTACTGAAGTGGCCAAAGGAAAAAATAAACAGCGATCCTGGCTGTCTTATAGCGTGGTTCACGGCCATGGCTACGTCCCTGCACAGCCAGGAAGTCTTTGTCGTATTTATACCCTCCTTTGTTGCTCTTGGATGTTTGTTTTTTTGTTTTTTTTTATGGTCAGCCATCTATATTTAAAGCTTTCGAGGGTGTGTGTGAGAAAGTAGCATCGTTTTAAATCAAATCTATGTAATAGGTCGTAAAATACCCAGCTGACCACTTGTAGGATGCTGAGGTTTTTAATGGAGCTTGGAAAAAAAAAAAAAAGCGACGCCCAGAACCACATCTGATGACGGCGTACGGGGTATTTTTGCCTCTTGCTGTTTTTGCCACCTATTTAAAACGAGATGCCAGCCGCCTTTGACCTCTGCAGCTCTTGGGTGTGAGACAACTCCTGGGAGGGACGAAGATGATGAACCACGAGCCTCTGCCTCTGGGATGTCCCCGGGGGGCTCCGGGTGGTGCCTTCCAGCCCTGCACCGAAACTCCCAGAGCTTTTTGGGCTGCTTTGTTTGTGGGAAGCCGTCCTGGAGCCGGGGCTGGGGCTGGAGAACGACCCAGACGAGCAAAAAGCGCATGGATGCGCCCTCCTGGAACCTGGCAGCAGCCTGTAGCTGTACAACCACAGGGTGTAGATGTGGTTTCATCCTCTGAAATGTTTTTTTTTTTTGCCCCAAATGTCCCTCAGGTTGTCACCTGTGCTGTGTTACCTGATTTGGGGTTTTGCCCTCTGGGTGCAGCGCCCTCGCCAGCCACTGCACTCCTGTGCCGGGGCTGCACAGCAGAGCAGGCAGCTCTGGGGTGGGTTTCTGTCAGGCTTCACCGATTCTTTCATCGCTCTCGTGCTCCCAGCACTGCCAATTCAAGAAAAAAAAAGGCCATTCATTATTTTAACCCCATTCCTGGGTGCAGGTGCCAGCCAGGCTGCGCTCCCCGTGCCCCATCCTCTCCTCACCGCCCAGCTCCCCTAACGCACTGAGGAGGACGAAGCTCTCCGGCGGCGTGCGCCGAGCAAACTGCACGTCGAGCTATTTTTAGGGAGATTAAGCCCGTAATCAGCCTTCACCGGCCGGGCTCTGGCTCGTTTCTTCCCGGTGCTGCTTAGTCACGGCCGTGGCCGGAGCCAGGCGGGCGCTGGGGGTGCCGCGGGAGCTGCCCTGGCGCGGTGGCGGTGCCGGAGCTTGGGGTGGCAGCGCCTTTGTTCGGCAGCCAGCCATTTTCCTCGGAGATTCGCACCGATTAGGCTGGATGGGATGAAATAAAACTCGCTGTGGAGCCGCGGGCTGGCAGCAAAATTCCCCCGGTGTGGACGTGGGTGTGCTCACAGCCTCTGCGGTGCGTGCCGAGGAGCCGCGGCCGTCGCCTCACGGCGTTTCTCGGCCACGCGATGAGTTCTCGGTGCCTTTGGCAAGGCTCAGCCCGCCCCAGCCTCTGCTTCCCCTGAGCCTTGTGCTGGGAAAGGGGACTGGAGGTTACTCCGAGCGTGCTGATGCTGCTGCAGGTGTCTCAGCCCTGTAGCAGCGCTGGATTTCTTTTTTCAGAAGAGCAGAACCAGAGGCGAGGTGTTGGTTGTGCTGGCAGCGGTTTAAGGAGTCCCTTTGGAGCTTTGCTGAGCTTTTCCTGCAAAGCAGACACAGAATGGATTCCACGTCTTGGTTTTTACGCTCAGCTTTTTTTTTTTTCTTTTACTACCGTAGGGTGCAGGGGATGTGCTGGGTTTGATGTGCCTCCTGCTGCCTTTCGGTGGCTCTCCTGGGCTCCTTCAGCTCCGTGTGGCCCCTGGCAGACAGCAGTGGTACCTCCCAGGGCTCACCAGCGTTTAAACTCCTGGCATGAATTTGCACAGAGGTTTCGGTTCTTTCCTCTCGGAGCAGCAGAAAGCTCCCTGGCAGCTCTGAGGGGTGATCCTAGAAACGTCTCCGCACAGCCTGGGGAGGGATGTCAGCTGGCAGAGCGCGCCAGCTGCCTTTGTAATCCCTCATTTACGGTGGCAACTGTTGATTCCCCACCTTTCCTAGCTTAAAACCAATTTCCAGAACGCATTATTTATCCCCTAATAATTGCAGTCTGGTTTCCGCCTTGGTTTTAATCACTTTATTTCCTGCACTTGTGAGGGTCTGGCCGGCGGGTGCGGGTGGACCGGGGTTGCTGAGCTCCGGGTCCAAGCAGCAGCGAAGCCTTCAGCCCCAGCCACCTTCCTCCTTTCTTTGTAAGGCTGCTCCGAAGCAGTTGTCCTACACCAGTTCTGTAATCACGGGGTTTAAAAAGGGTATTTACGCGAGTCTGGGGGGGGGATCTGATTCAGGTCGTGTCCATTCTGCCGTGTTTGCTTCGTAACGAAACGCTTCCTGAGAACCCGATGCCGGCGGTGTTTGTGCTGGCTTTCGGGAATATTTATAGCTTTAATTTCCTGCTGAGCACCTGGAGGTCACAGGGCCCAGGGGTTTGTTTGTCTGTGTGTCTGTCCACACCGACCTGATCCCGCTGCCGTCCGCGGCTGCTCCCTGAGCTGGTCGGGATTTTGGGGCTGGCAGGCGCACCCCGTGTTGTGGGCTGGTGTGAACGTCGAGCAGAAAGCCCCCAGCCTCGTATCCGAGTGCTTCTGCTGCCCCTTAGAGCACTGAATTCCGTGAAGCTCCCGATAACCAGCCTCCCTTTTCCCCCCCTGAGCTTTAGAAGCAAAATGCTTGAGTCCAAAGTCCGCCTCCAGGCTGGCGCCGGGCGCTCAGGTGCCGGCTGGGCTCGGCACAGAAGCTTCTGAAATTAGGGCTTGGGGGGTTGTTTTGATGAAAAATGATTTCTTTGAGAGCACGCGGAGGGGATGGAGCATCCCACCTCGTCGGTGTCCCTCACGGTGGGCGCTTCTGCACGGGAAGGAGTCCTGCAAAGGGTCAGGCTGAGAGCAAAGGAGCCTTGGTGGCCAACGCTGGCTTGTGTCAGTGAACTCCCCAGGGTTTGCCGAGGAGGCAGGATTCCTGCTGTGCTTGGCTGTCAGCCCTGTGCGCCCAGGTAGGTCCTGGCCTTCCAGAGGTCCCTCCTTTTTGCTCCTCACCATGGGCAAACGTCCCTGGAACAAAGCGCTGGGGAAATGCTGGCGTTGGTCAGCACCAGGCAAGGCAGCCGGGCATCTCTTTGTGTCTAATCTGCACTTTTCTGGGGGGGAAAAAAAAAGTCCCCGCTGCCGCTGTTCTAGCGGCGAGTCTTTTTTTGGTGTGTCAGGCGGGTTTGCTGTTGTTCGCTAAAAATGCAGGCAGCCAGTTCAGAGTTGCTTACAGGGAGATGCTTGGAATAGTTAGAGCGAAGGAAAATGAAACGCGCTTTGTGTTCTCCAGCTGAATATTCCTCACTCCTTTCCAGTAAGCTGTAAATGCTGAAGCAACTCCGTTAGAAACTTCTCAAGTGTCTTTTTCCGATTGCAAAAAAGGGAAAGCCAAAGCTTTGGTTCCTCGTGGGCATGCCCAGCCCTCCCCAGGGGAACAGCAGCACCCCTGCTGGCTCTGTGCCTCCTCCAGGCCCCCCTGTGGGCAGGGGGCAGCCCGGTGCCGGGGGCTTTCTGTGGGTCTGGGGGGCAGGAGCTCAAAAGTGCCGGAGCGAGGCAGAGCCGGGCTGCTCAGGGGCCGAACGGGTGGCTGCAGGGATGTCACCACGTCCTGCTTTGTCTTCCAGCTCAAATCCTCCGTGCCTGCTTCGAGTTGCTTCACTCGGGGCTTGCGTCAGCTCTTGCTCACGTCCCTTTCTACGTGCGTGCCGAGCACGGGGCATACCTGGGTGTCTCTCGTGCAGGGCCACCGGTAATTACACGCTGTCATCGCCGCACGCCCGGCTGCCAGGGGCTCTCACCTTGCTCCTGTGTTGATGTCAAGCACCGTGACCCAGTTGGGGCTGCCGTGCCCTGCAGTGGGTGCTTGATGTGACCGGAGCCTCGTGGTGGGTGGATCTGCTCCCGGTGGCACTCTGCAGGGTGCTTGCGGGAGGGACGGAGCCAGCTTGCAGAATTAATATCCTGAAACAGCAAGCAAAGAGTTACTGAGACAAAAACACAACTGAGCGTGGTGATAAGGGACTTTGATGGAAGGTGATAAGGGTGGTTTTTGGACGCTTTTGTCCTTTCTGTGCTCACAAGCTTGTGTGGTCTGAGTGTTGCTGGGTGGTGGCGCCCCGGAGGGCGCAGAGCAGAGCCCCCAGACACATCGCAGCAGCTTCCTGACCTCTGCATCCTCATCTCCGGGGCGTCTAATTGCTGTGTGAGGGAGCAGGAAAGGATAATTGAATTCGGGGGCACCTGGTGAGTCCGTGTGGAGGACTGGAGGCTGGATGGGGAATGGTTTTGACCTCGCTGCTGGCTCCCTGCCCCCGTGGCGTGCAGGCACCCGGGGTGCACCTCGGCCCTGCCTGCTGCAGCCTGCTCTCAGCTGAGCCACCTGCTTGTAATTCCCCTTTTATTGCCCCGTAAATGTAAGCAGCGCATTAACATCTTAATTGGCTTGCTCGATAAAGGATTGACTCCAGGATTAAATCTCCCGGTTTCATCATTTCTTTGGGCTCCTGGAGGTGCTGCCAAGCACTGAAATGGATTTTGTTCATTCTCCTTTTTGAGCCCCTGTTGGAAGGGGGAAGCGCTTCCACTTGGAGGATGCTGAGACGTGTGTGCACCGAATACCCGCAGGGCTGTGGCGTGTCTCTGTGTGAATCTGCTCACGGGTATCAGCCCTGGAAAACTCTGCGGGTGTGGATGTGGCTCTGAAGATCCCAAGAGGAGATGATCTGAAATAACCGGGATTTGCAGCACTCTCCGTTCTGAATTTTGTCCAGCTCTGGCATTTTGGCAGGACGTATTTCCCTTACCCTTGCAGCAGGCTACAACAACCTATCCTACCTTAATACCAATCTTAAAGCCCAGTGCACGCTTCCACGGCGTTTGTTCTGGATCTGTCCCCCCTGTTCTAGCTAGAAAAGACATTGCTCGAGCTTCAGACACTGAGGCAGTGACTGAAACCCTGTGAAAATAAATCTTTGGGTTATGTTCTACCAAAGGCAAGAACCTCCTGACCTGCCAGGCCCACGGACGTTGTCGCTGTGGGGACTGCCCAGAGAGGAAAAGCTCTGGGCAGCTGAGCTTTGTGGTATGTGCAGCCTGCCAAATTTAGGTGAGAAGCGTGTATTTTTCCATATCCTGTCAAGAAGAACTTATTCCACTGAGTAACACCTGGCGTTAAAGGACGGCGAGGGGAAGATTTGTCTCTAGGAATAGCTCCAGAGGCCTGGAAGCCTGGAATAGGCTCTAACATTTTCAGGCTCTCTTGGTTCTTGTGCAGCTCGCTCCCTGGGTGCACTGAGCTGGCCCCATGGTCCCAGCCCATCCTCGTCTCTGTCCTCCCCACAGAGGAGGAGTAAAAACAAAAAACCAAGAAGCTGTCTGCACTCATCCATCCCTGGTGGATGATTCTGGCTGAGGACAGGCATGGCGATGAAATGGGAATTGAGCCCGTGCCCCTGAGGCCTTGCTGCTGGGCTCTGTTTTCAGGCTCCCTGTGCTCCTCCGCTCTGGTTCCTTCTTGGAAGCGTCCGACCCCGATCGCATCTGCTCCTTGAATGTCTCCCCCCCTTGTTTTTTGTGAAGGAGGGCGCTGGCTCGGATGTCAGACTTGGCCTGGACAATAATGGGAAGGAGAGGACAGATAGGCCTATTTACTATTGTTCTCGTAACTGGGGGTAGAAAAATCACACTCGTTTTCCCATGAATCATTCCTCTGCCTTGCTCTTTCAGTTGTGCTTTCTTCAGAATTTCTTCTCTTCCCCAGCTGATCGAGCAAGCCCCCAAAATGAGGATGGGATCCCAGTGCTCAGCACCGTGGAGCCCGGCCTGGTGCGGCAGCGCTTCCCTCCTGGTTATCTGCAAAAGGGGGCTGAGAAGCCGCCCGTCGCCTGGTGGGCCATTTAGGGCTTGTTAACTTGTGATATCTGCTGGTGGGAAGCGCTCAAAGCGTCTGCGGGGGAGGACGACACCTCTCGGCTGCGTGATGTTTGGGGGGGGGGGAACGCTGCGAGTTCACGGCCTGCTGCAGCAGCGCGCTTCAGATAATCAGAAAAGAACAAGCAAACTGTGGCTCGGAGCAGCTTTTGAGTTTCCCTCTGGCTCCAGGGGTGTTTTTGTGTGCCTGTAGTGGTGGAATCATCCTGGGGTAGCCGCTGGGATGACACCGACCGTGCTCGAAGGCATCGTGGCAGCACGTCGGCTCCTTGCACCGGGCTCCGCTGGGCGGCTGCTGCCTCCCATCGGGGCCTCACACACAGCCCCATAAGCCACTAAGCCCTTACTTTCCTTTTTTAACTCTTAATCTGATCCTCTGCCACTTAAGTGACCTGGCCCGGGCTGGTTTTGCCTGTGTCGTGTGCCTGCAACCCGACTGATCGGGAGCGCTGCCTGGGCTGGTGGCAAGCAGCCTGCTCAGCCCGGAGTCCAGCAGCGGTTTGTACCGGGTGTGTGGCTCAGGAGGAGCAGCCCTGAGTCCTCCAGGAGGCTGAAGGGAACCTTTATGAATATTAAAGCTCCTTCTCGGTCGCTGTCAGTGCTGGGGATGGAGGCACGCCTCCAAGCGGAGCGAGGCGCTGCTGCTGTGCCACTCGCAGGGCACTCTAATCATTCCTCCCACAGGCAGGAGCGTGTGGAGGCTTTCTGTTTGTTTGTTTTTCACCATGGCAAGACTATACAAAGTCTTTTAAATACATGTCGGTACGCCTTAAGAAACACATGAGGCTTGGCAGGTGTATTTTATTTTTTTTTTGTATGACTCCTTGAGAAAGAAGTTTCTCGTGCTCTTACAGCTCGTGAGCTGCTTTAGCTGGTCAGAGGGTCCCATCCCATCGCTGGCCAGTTTGCTGCAAATTTGCATGAAACAGCTTATGGGATACAACGAAGCTCTGGGTTCAGGGCCTTGGAGAACACAGTTCTTTCCCAGAATTGCCTCTTTTCCCATCACAGCACTGATGATCATGCCTCCCTTTAAGCCGTGCTTTGGGACTGCAAGAAATTCTGTTTGCCCTTCTACCCAGGGCTCCTGAGAGCTGTGCGAGCTCTAATACAGCCTCGTTAGGCTCTTCTTCATCAGCCCTTGGCTTCCTTTCGGGCTGCAGAAACCAGCCGTGCTGCACCGATGTCCTCAGCCTCTGTTTGATGGATTTAGAGCTGCTCGGTCGTTCCCTTCTCTCTATCCCATTCCCCATGTGTTTGTGTGGCTGCTCTGAACCACACGTGAAGGTTTGCCTTCAGGGGGCTGTGGCACGGCTGGAGGACTGGAACGAGCAGTCCCTGATGTGTTCCTGTAGGCAGTGCCAGCTCACAAGTACCCCCCAGTTACCATTCATATCAATAAATAAATAAAACTCTCCTTTATACTTAAGCTGCCAATCCGCACAGCGTTTTGGGGCCATTTAAAAACCACGTGGGATGTAATATTAGCTATGGTCTAATCCAGGGGTTTGAGGAGTTGAGCGCAAAGTTTACCTTTGGGGAATTTATTGGGCCAGATGTCTCTGGAAATGGCCTCGTTAACCAGCAGTTTCTTCCCTAGAGTGAAGTAGGTTTTGTTTCCTTAATGAAAATATATGGCTAAATTGTTGACTTGTTTTTGTTTACAGATGTTCTCAAACAATGACGAAGCTGTGATCAACAAAAAACTTCCAAAAGAGCTGCTGCTTCGGTAAGCCTTCTTGATTTGTATTTCAGCTGTGTCGTGTTGTGTTATTTGCAGCCAGGAGCTGGTTTCGCTGGTATGCTCGTAAATCACGAGCCTGGATTGGGTCACTTACAAAGCCATGGACAAACAGAAGCAGATCAAAGGTCTGCACCAGTGGCGGTTTATGCTAAATGTTATTAGGATTTGTTTTGTAAAATGTTAAATTAATTTGCCGGTCGCCTGTTTTGTAGATGGAAGAACTGTAGGACTAATCAGGCCCTTAATGAAAAGAGATGTAAGCGTAGGGTAACGCGTAGGACAAGATTCTGCCCATCTCTGTCAAGTGCTGCGTTTAAATAAAAATTCCAAATAAAAATGGCAGAATGGTCCCTGTTGGCCAGGATCAAAGGGATGAGGCTCGGAGGATGCTGGCGTGCAGCTCTGCCTGCTCCCTGTGCTGCTTTTCGCTCGCACACACCCCTGCATGCCATTTGCAGCTTGCCTTCCCAGCACGGGAGCAGCACGAGGGGTGATGTGTGGCTGGCTCAGCCCTCCGTTCGGCGTCTCGAAGCGAAGTCTTGCTCATCAGTGCTTCGAGCTGAGCTGCGAGACTGTAAACGGTGACAAATTGTAGGTGGTGGCTTGAATTATTAACACGAACAAAATTCTCGAGCTGCAAGAAACTGCGCAGCCCTGTCAGCGTTTAATGGTGATAAAAGCCTGGGGAGAAGAGCTCTGGCACAAGAAGCGGCTCCTAGCTCACTCGTGAAATAAAGTGAATAGGAAAAGCAAAAACTGACCGTCTCTTTTGGCCACACCGTCTCCTGTATTTTCTGTAGCAGCATCTCTAATTGGATTCAACTCCTTCTATGCCAGTATTACTCACCCAAAAGCAAAACCACAAGGTTGTGGGGGTTGAGTTTAACTGAGGATGTGCATGGACCTTGGGGGACAGCGGTCTGCGGGTACCGGGCTCCCCCGGGGCAGGACCTTGCTGGAGGGTGGGTGAACTCCTGGGAGCTTGCTCAGAGTGACCAAGGAGCACTCAGGCAGCAGCTGGTGGCACTGGGGAACGTCGCTGGGTGGCTGGAGGAGGATTTGTGGTGGGCGACAGAGGCTCCTGCACCATGTGGGAGTTTGGTCAGTGCAAACCCCATGGCTGGTTTCTCAGCACTGCATGCACTTCTGCAGCATGGGAACGCTTTGGGGTCTCGTCTTGCTATCACTGATAGTCTCCACGTGCTGTAGGAAGAGCAAGCAGTCAGGATCGTGCGGAACCTAGGGAAAATCAGGAGGAGGTGGAGTTTATAAATGTTAAAGTTGATAAGTAATAGTTTTGAGAGTTGGAATTCACTGTTAGCATACTGTGAAAATTAATTAGTGGGGATCGACAGTGCGGCCTTTGAAAGAGAAACTTGGATGCCTTTATCTGCAGGAATCTCCTGTAAATGAGCGTCGCTGTCTACGAGACAAAGACTCGTGTGTTTAAGCAGCGCTGCTGCGTGAAGGCTTGTTCGCTGGCGTGTTCCTTCTGCAGATGGCATTGATGCCTCATGCATGTGGTTGCAAAGTGGAAAGCTGTACTCGAGCAAAATAAAGAGTAGGAGGATATGCGAGAGGTGGACAGCAATCGTCACGCCCCACGATAGAGAAGTGTGTGGCTCCCGGAGCGCTTTTGACTGGGGGACAGGGTGGATGTGTGAAGCGCCCGCGAGGCCGACTTCAGGAACCATTTGTGGTGTCCTGCCCGCCGTGTTGCTGCCACACAGTGATGGTTTTGGCTGAGCAGCACTCTTAAACAAAGCTGTCCCGCAGCACCTGGGCCCAGAGCCCAGCCGATGGCCCCAAGCCTCGTCCTGCCTCAGCCTTGTCTGCTTCTGCCCTCTGGGCTTCCAGGGGCTTGCACGTGAGCTTCACGCTCTTAAAAATGAGCCAGACCAGGAAAAAGCAGAATTCTGCTGGCTGTCTCGGTTACTTTGGTGCTGCCAGCTCCTCTCTGGGTGGCTCTGGCTGGGTCCTTCCCCTGGTTTCCATCCCATGGCCTGCCCCAGGTGCGTGTCCCCTCCACTGTGGCCCAGGCCCAGGCCTTGAGGTGCCGCTGGTGCCCGCTGCTCTCAGCATGGTGTGGGGCTGCTGAACCACTGTCCCTGTGGGGTTAGGTGGCCTTGGGAGCTGTCTGTGTCCCCTCTGGGTGGCAGGCAGGCCGGGCCGGGTCTCCCGTGGCATAAGCAGCTTTTGCTCCGGCTCCACGTCCTGCCCTCCGCCTGGCGTCATTGCTTGGAGCTCTGGATCTGGTGGCGGAGAGGCCATGGGGACACCTGTTGTGCCCCCTCTGCTAAAACGGGAAAGGAGAGAAATTCAGCTTGAGCAGTGGGCCACTGGTGTTGGTGGTTTTGGAAGGTGAAGGTCCGGGCTGGCTCACCCCAGAGCCTGCAGCTGCCAGGCACCTCATCAGTCTTGGCCCTAATCTAATTAGAGCGGCAGGGGGAAAGTGAGGAGCAGCCCTAGAAAATCCGCAGTGGATTAAGAGGCTGAAACCTGAAAAAAGGCTCCAGCCGCAGTGTGTTTTGGCTAAATTGTCTGCTGCCGGGCTGCTCGGGCAAGGCAGCGTGTTCCAAAGCCTGCTTGGCCCCGCTGCCTCGCCACCGCCCGCAGCGAGCCGCTTTGCAGCAGGAGGCTTCAATCTGACGCGGTGCCAGGCCTGCTGAACTCCCCTGGGGAGGGCTCGGCCTGCCTTCGCCGTCGGTCCCTGCTTGATGATGAAGTGACCACTGAGGTTATTTTCTTACCGTTGGCCCCAACGAGCAGAAAGGCGAGTGCAGGAGGAGAGCAGTTGGCGGAGCTGCCATCGCCCAGCTGCCCGGCGAAGGCAGGGCCAGGAAGCCATTACTCAGGCAGCGCTCTTCAACCTGCTGCTGCTGACTTCTTTTCTGCTTTCTTTCACCGGAGAAGCAGAATCTGAGCAGAGCAGCAGATATTTGTTAGGGATCTGGTGTCTTGGAACAGTCCCAAGGGGCCGGGCGGCTGCTTTCTGGTGCCCTGCTACTGCTGTGTCTGGAGCTGGCGGTTTTCATCCAGATTTCCTGTCAGCCCAGGATGCTGCCTTGTCGTCAGGCTTGCTTGTAGTTATTTCAAGTGACCGTGTAGGTTACTTTGCTTTATCCTGTGCAGATTGCTGAAAAGAAACCCAACGTTGATGTCCCGTGCTGTACTCATGTTGGGTGAAGGCAGACGCTCGGTCACTGCTAGGGCAGGCAGCTTGGTGGTGGGATTTGGGGTGCTTTGAGGTTCCCCAGCAGCTCCTCGGAGAAACAGCAGCCCGTCCTTGGGGCTGTTTTATAGAACTTGAGGCCATTGTGCCTGCGGGACTTGAGCCGTGCTCCTGCTGCTCCCAGCAGTTTGTGCAAGGGCTGTGGCTGGAGCCAGCGTGGCCCTGCTGCTGGAAGAGTGATTTTTTTTGCAGCACATTCTGCTGAGTCACTGGCTAATACTCCCCAGCGAACGCCAGAGCAGTGCAGAAATGAGAAATGCTCATAGGCTTTTCAGAGCAGAAGTCCCCAAATCCTCTTGGGGTCCGTGGGTTTCCTGCCGAGGTGCTGTGCAGGCTGGCACCCCAGCGCCCGGAGCAGCAGAATTTCTCCTTCCCCTCGCAGAGTTTGGCCTTGCAGCGAGCAGGAGGGGGGGGCTGCATGTCCCAGGAGCCCCCCAGCAGCAGGGCAGCTCCTGGCGGAGCTCCGAAATGTGAGCTTGGGAGGTGAGGGGCAAGCATTCAGTGCTGGCACCCCCTCTGCTTTGTGGGCAGGCTGGGAAGGGAGGAGCAGGAAACAGAAAAGAATTTGGCCCTGACAGAGGGATGAGGGGGTTATTAATAGCCTGGGATTTCCACGGAGAAAGCGATTTTTATGAAAATGTAGAAGTGTACCTAGTTATTGACTGTTCCCATGGAGGTGGTTTCTGTGCTCCTGTGCTGGGAATCCAGGGTAAAAGTAGGAATTTTCCCCAGCTTCTCGCACTTCCCCAGGCTTTCCTTGTATTGTTGTTCATTCATATTGTGCTAAATAAATCCTCAGCTCTTGCATACATGCAGACATAAATAACGTTTATTTCAAGGGAAGACTTGTTCCTAGGCAGTGAGAAGTGAGCGGGGATCTGCGGATGTATCTGAAGTGCTCTGTGGGTACCTGCTAGGTTGGAAATCGCATGGTTGCACCCTACAACATCACCTCAGTCTGACTTCTGTCCTCTCCTCAAATTTGGAAATCTGCTTTGCTGCTTGTACCTAGCAGCGTGGCTGTGGATGTGCACGGCACGTTAACGTGCGTGCTGCCTCCCGGGTCCGTAGCAGGAGCCGAGGTGATCCTCCTCCTTTATCTCGGGGACAAAGTGCAGCTTGTCTGTGTGCACACCGTATTTGTTGTTCCCAGCGCTCTCCCCCCAGCTTTATCAGCCCCTGTGCTGTTTATTCAGATGCCTTCTTTGTGGATATCTGGGTAGGTGAGCACCTCGTACGGCTTTCCTCTTCAGCAGGAGAGTTTCAGTAAGCGTTAGTGCAGGGCGTTTGGGTCTCAAAGAGCTCGCTGCTGGCAGCATCTCTTCCAGAGAGGCTCTTCCAGCACAGGCGGCTCTCCTGAGGATGTGGGAGAGCTTTTGTTCACCCTCCCAAGCCAAACTCCCAAGTGAGCAGGCCAGCAATTTGGGGTGGTGGCCAGAGCTCGGGGTGTGCCTGGCAGAGGAACGTGCGTAGCAAAGAGGGCTGGTGGAGCACGGAGCACGCCAGCACTACTCCAGTGTCAGGGAGGAGCCAGCACAGCCAAAAGTGACTTTATTCGGCCCTATCCTGACCCAACTGGTGTTAAGCTGTACAATACCTGCACCCATCTGCTTCGGTGCCTGCTCATCCTGCTCACTGAACGCTGCTGGGTGTAAGGTCAGCGCTCCCAGTACATCAGTGTCTCTGCTTTCATTCGTTAACTGCTAGGTTTGCACTTCTTTTCACCGTTCAGCTTTCGACTGATTTGCAAAGAAGTTTTGCTGTCTCCAGCCCTTTTTTTTTTTCCCCATTGTTTTTCCTTTTTTTTTTTCACGTTCCCTTTGTTGTAGATGTGGATAACCAAAAGGTGTCTTTTTTTTCTGTTGCAGAATTTTCTCCTTCCTGGATGTGGTCACTCTGTGTCGCTGTGCTCAGGTCTCCAGGGTAAGAACCTTCCTCCTTGCTGGTGGATGTTCGTGGTTTGTGGGACTGTCACGGCTCTCACCTCCAGCCCTCCCTGGCATTTGAGACCCGGGGGATTTGTACAGGGGAGCTTTGTGTTTCAACTATTGTTATTTAGTGTCCCGTACTAAAGGGGGATGCCAGAAACTTCTGATGGCCACTGAAATCAAAGCTGGAACACCATTTTAAAGGCACCCAAGGCCCTGAGCAGACTGAAAGGGAAGCAGCTGACTTTGACAGAGCTCTCCCAGCAACCTGGGCTTTGTACAGGAGGCCTACACTGAATTTCAGCTGTGATGTGTGGATGAGTCTAAAACTTCCTTGTTTTTTTGTTGAAAGTAAAGAAATTTTGATTCACAAGGATACTTGCACAGTCAATGAGCATTTACTTTCCTATTTGGATTTAGCTGATAAGAATGTAGAAGGAAAAAGGAGTGTCTTGTTTACACTGTTTTTTTCCTTAAGTATCTCGTAGTTCTGTGGGATTCAGGTAGCGAGACCCAGCTTGGATAATTCACTTGGGAAAACTCCACCTGCAGGCCCAGCCACTAAAGCTGTCAGATGTGTTCAGGTGCTTCATCCTGACAGAACCTGGCTCAGGTCAAACCCGAACCACAACTGGCTCATCACTAAGATCATATAAAAATACAAAATGCAACATGCTTAAACATTTTTAATTGCATTTTTTAAAAGTCCCGTGATGTCCAAGCAGTGTGATTACAGTCCCACATTCTCAGAATAACACAAATCTTCTGATGAAAGCTCTTCCAGCTGAAGGTCACTGCTCCAGCACTGACAGCCCGTTTTTGTATGCAGAGATCCCTCCATTAGACATAAAAACACGCAGGGTTACAGCTTGCACCTGCTGGTGGGTTTCTCCTCCACTGGAGCTTCCTCTCACCAATAACCAGGCGTTAAAACAAGCACCTGTAATGAGGTTGCAAACACAAAGTCCATCACCACTCAGTTCTGTGAGCTGCTCTCAGTCCCTGCGTGACTTGCACAAGAACTAGTTACCACGTTGTGCTGGAGATGTGGCTTAGTGCTTGTAATAGGTGTCGTACAGGAACACGCCTGCGTGTGCACACTCTTGCACAACGAGGGACTCACGGCTGTTATGAGACTCAGCTGTTTGCTTTGGTGATGCAATTAAAACTTCATGTACAGTATTGACAGCTGCTTTCAACTCTGTTGAAAACCTTGATTTATTAAGGCACAAAAAAAAAGTTTCAATTTCTGGTTCTCATTTGTATCATAAGCAATATGGGAGTTTTTTTTTTAATTATTATTTATTGATTGATTGATTTGTCCACCCCTGCCTGCTTAATAAACCAAACCCCACTCAAAGTCAGAGGTACTGCAGCAGTGGTGCATGGCTCTCGGGAGCTGGATGCTTCACCTGGGCATCTTACAAGGCTCTGAATTTGTCTGGGGGACGTAGCACCGATCTGTGGAAGGGCCTTGAGCACCTTTTCCTGCTGGAGGTAGGGGAAGGTGTGCAGGGTGCCAGCCTCCCCCACCTCTGATGGGATCCGACCGCGAGCCTGGCGCCAGCTGTGCTCCTCGGGGCAGTGCAGGAGCTTGGGGTCGCTTCTCCTGTGTGGCTCCCCCGTGTCCTGGCACCCTTCACATCCTTCACCTGGCTGCTGGCTTCCTCTGAAGGTGCTGGTGAGCCGTGCTAAGGGTCGGGGTCCCAGCAGGACTGGTGGTGCCCCCCAGGGACCCGCGGAGGAGCGGCGCTGTGGGTGATAACTGATCGGGGCTGGTAACTGATCACTTTTCCTTATCAGCCCTAATCACTTGTTGGGTTTCCCCCGAGACAGAATGTTGTTTCTGAATGGAACGAACTGTGACTAGGTCCCCGCTGGTGTTTTTTTTTTTTTTTTTTCATATTAACAACACGTTTACATTTTTTCCCCCGATAAAGGCATGGAATGTTCTGGCCCTGGATGGCAGTAACTGGCAGCGAATTGACCTGTTTGATTTCCAGAGGGATATTGAGGTATAATTAAGCGACATACAAACCCGTTTTTTCTTGTTAAAATGTAATTACAGCCTAGGATGGATTAATACTCCCAGCGTAACCCCTTCTACCTTCCCTGGAGATAGAAATCATTAATTTCAGTTCTTCTTAGCTTCAGGGAGTCTTTAAAGTCTTGGCAATCCATTCAGCTTTTGAAAATGGACAGAATTACATATCTGTATCAAGACTTAAAGAAAGTAATGGAGAGGTTTTACATGCATGTGTTCTAAAAGCAGAAATAAGTAAATTGGTATATTGAGGGAAATTACTAATGCAGAGCAGAACTCAGGCTGCTTTTCCTTTGACTCAAAAAACAAAAATCCTATCACAGCACAGACCTGGACCATTAAGACTCTGAATGTCTCTTGAAACACAGCCCGCAACATCTCTCTTTTCCCATCTGTTTTTAAATGTAAAGAAATGCGGTGTAAATGTGGACGATTCAGGGGCAGCAGGGGCAGAGTTGTTCCTCAAAGATGCAGCTTTGGAAGTGCTTCGTGGCAGCCTTTCTAAATCTGTCGGATGCGGTCTAGTTAGCGCCGACAGGAAGGGATGCTGCTGTCATCTAAAAGCTGAAATTCCATTTATCAGGGTAAGAGAACAAAACACAGTTACGAGAAGCTTGTTTCTTAGCAGAATATTTGGTTTCTCACAATATTCATTTGCTCTTTGAACTGTTTTGGAGGAGGGAGACAGAGAGCATCGTTCCACGTACTGTAGACGTGAAGCAGGCGATGACTGAAGACGCACACCTTGAGGGAACTGGAGGGAAACGCTCAGTTTTTGTGGAGGAGGGAGTTAAAACCTTCCTGCCAGCTAAGCGAGACGCCCAGATAAAGTCACCACCCCGTGACGCTGGGTGACTTCTGCCTGCCTGAAGGGCTCTGGCCGGGCTGGGACTCCTCGCAGGAAGCACACGGTGTGATGGTGGTGGTGTTGATAACAGATCCTGATCTGATAACAGGCACTGATCTCCTCCCGTGCCCTGGACGTGCCGGAGGTGTGCCGATACCTTGCACGGAGGTGCAGCACAGCCAGAGGTGCCCGGTCTAGCAGGAAGCAGTGGCTGGAGCTGATCCGCTCGGTCTGTGTAGGAGGGAGAGAGCAGAGTGCTGCGGGCACAGCCCCACCTGCTCTTCATGACTGGCTTTTTGCATGGTTTCCACATCAAATGTGTGTTCTTCCACGAGCCCCAGCCTCCCCTTTCAAAGGGAGGTGCCGTGGTGTGTTGCACCGAACCTCCAAGCACCCGATGTCCTAAATGTTCTCGCTTTAAAGCAATGCAAATCCAGCAGCTGACGTAAATTGCATTTATAATGGGACTTATTCAAATCTTCTCGTTCAAGCGTGTGACTTCGTAGGCTGGACCAGAGGAATCACAAAGGTACGCCTGCTGCTCGGGAACCCTCCAGCCCTTCCATGCAGGTCAGGCTTTCGGCTGTTCCCACTGCCTCCCAGGGCCTGTGGTGTTGGCAGGAGCCCCCCCCAGAGCTCTGGTGGGGCTGGTGGCCCTCCTTCGGTCGTGGTATTACGTGGTGCCCAGCCTGCTGATTTGTGATTCTTACTTATTTTGGTTGGAAGAAGGTAGTAGGAAAACATCCTTGGCCCTACAGGGGGCTTAAATGCTGCCTTGACGAACCAAGAGGGGTTCCTGGTGTGTGCTAAGCAACCGTGGAATAAAGTGGAGGGGAAGGTGGTGGAATTCCTGGACGCTGCTACTGATGCTCTCAGTGGCTTTCGGTCAGAAATACCTGGCTAAATGCGAACTTGTCCTAGGGTCTTTGCAGCCTTCCACCAATTGCAAATGTTGGGGGGGGGAATCCATTCTCCAGATCTGTTGAACATAAAAGTTTGGATCCCTTTTCTGCAAGGGGAAAACTGGTGGGCTAGCGGTGTCTCAGCTCCATTTTGAATAGAAATTGAGGTGTATCCATTCGCAGTACTCGTTTGTCAGTCTTTTGCCCCTCTGCAGCAGCAGCACTGCTGCTTTCCATCTGCTTGGGTAGTCTGCATCAACATCCAGGGCTCTGGGCTGGAGGAAATCCTCAGCTGCCAGCCTGAACTCGCCTCCTCCAGCCGTAGGTGCCTTTTCTCTCCATCTTCAGAAGCTGAATAATTTCCCCTCTCCCTGCCTTAGATTATCCCCGTGGCACTTTTTGTTTCCGTGGCAGTGCTTGACCTAGAATAACAAACTGTTGTTGTTAAAAGTTTGAATTCAGCCTTTTGAATGCTGAAGTCACTTGGGGTTCTGCTGGATTTTCACGTAGCTCTTTCTGTCTCCAACAGGGCCGAGTAGTGGAGAACATTTCCAAGAGATGCGGGGGGTTCCTGAGGAAGCTGAGCCTGCGTGGCTGCCTAGGAGTGGGAGACAATGCATTAAGGTAAAGGCACGGCTCACTTCTGCTCTTAAAAGTAAAGTAGGGAATGATTCAGCCTCTCCAGCCACAGAGGGCTGATAGGCACGAACGCTTTGGAACTGAGATCTTTAGCCTGTGCCTGACTTAAAACACTGAGAGCAGTAACATAGATGCAATCTTTATCGCTCCTTAACTTCTCTCGCTGGTTGTTTTCATTAAAATAATACCAGCTGCTGCTACAGGCTAAGCAGTAATTGCTGCTAAATCACAAACTTTTGCCTTTGGGCTGGGAAATCTGTGAATTTATTTCCGTTCGGTGAAATCCCAGGGCAAGATACAGGGCACCGTGAGGTTACTTTTTGTTTATTTTGCCTGAGACCATTTTATAAAATTTTATCTGATGTGTTAAATGCCTGGAAATGTATTGCCTGACAAGTACGGTGTTTTGCCTTTCATTCAATAAAGGACATTTGCACAGAACTGCAGAAATATTGAAGTATTGAACCTGAATGGCTGTACCAAGATCACAGACGCGTGAGTAATGATCTCTTCTGTTTCCACTGTTATCCCCCTTTTCTGGGGGGGAAGGGGGATATACTCTCAGCTTCCTTTTTTAAGGGAAGGCCAGGCTTGTGCATGCAGCAGGTAATATAATGCGTGTGGTATGAAATGCGTACGGCTTTGCATATGCCTGTCATGTCAGAGTCTCTCATGTGTTCTCTTCCAGTACGTGTACCAGCCTCAGTAAGTTCTGCTCTAAGCTCAGGCACCTTGATTTGGCTTCCTGCACTTCCATAACCAACATGTCCCTGAAAGCACTGAGGTAGGAGTTGACAACGTTGCCTTTTGCCCGTTGATTCCAGGTAGTGTGACCCGCTGCAGCCCCGTGTTCCTTGTGTGCCTTGGAGGAGACTGAAGTAGGCTGAGGTTTAACCGTGCTTAGAGTTCAGGCAGAGCTCAGTGTTCACGTTGTGCCTCCTGGTTTGCAGAGAAAGGGGAGGAGGATGCAATAAAAGCTGCCCTTAAACTTCTTTGTATCCATCCTGGCGATTATTTGCAGCAGAAGCATTACGTTGCATTGAAGTCTTGGAGGAGGGATTGGGGGTGTAGGAAGGAAAAAAAAAAGGCTTAGTTTGTCTTTTTTAACTGTTGGTTTGCTAACAGCCAGCTTCTGCACTGTAAGTGTACCACTGCATACTTAGTGCTTACGTAGCCAGAAGGTGAACACCAGCACGTGACTATTTGTCTTTTCAAACTGCTTAGGAGACTTGTAACTGCTTAAATCTGCTAAATGGAATTGCCAAGTAAACTAGAAAAGGAAGGGAAAGACAGACAGTGGTGGGAAGATATTGGGACAGAGGAAAGGAGGCAAAAAAAAAACACTGAAGGTAACGATGGAGGCCGAGCTTTAAAAAAAAATAATAAAAATTTCAAGTGGTATCCCAGCAGAATAAAATAAAAGGAAAGCTGTATCACGGGGGGAAAAAAATGAGGGTTCACCTAGGTACCAACAGAAAAACATGGATTTAAAAGAACAAATGAATGGTTTTGTGTTGGTTTTTTTTGTGGCTGCATTAAAGTACTTTGAGCTTGGTTTTTCTTCCCTTGAGGGTCTTCATCCCTGTCTCTGATTTCAAATGGTCAAATTTGTGCTGCAGCTATCTTAAATACCTGATAGCATCTATATTTCTTGATTGCCAGTTGCACTGAGCGTTACTCCTGCTGGCAGCTATTTGTAAATGCAGAGTTAGATCTGGAAAGTCAGAGGCAGCATGGAGAGCAGCCCGATTTTTGGCTCTGGCTCTGGGCAGTTTGGTTGTGTTTGGGTCCAGAAAGTGCATAAACTGTGTGTGTAGGACGGGGAGGTGCCCAGAAGGGGGTACGCTGGCCTTGTTTTGCCCTCCTGATGCCCTGCTCTAGAGCTCCTGACAGTGCCTCTGGAAAGCTGCTCACACCTGGAGGTGTTTGACGAGGAAGCGTTCCCCGTGGGGTGTGGGTGTGCATCAGTGCTCGTGTGGGTCCCAAAACTGGGGAATTCCTAGTTCTGCCTCGAAGCAGGATGTCCTTGTAAAGCCAAAAAGCTGCCACACGCTTTTCCTTTCGCCTCCCAAGCGAGGGGTGCCCGCTGCTGGAACAGCTGAATATCTCCTGGTGCGACCAAGTGACGAAGGATGGCATCCAGGCCCTGGTGCGAGGCTGCGGGGGGCTCAAAGCCCTGTTCCTGAAGGGCTGCACGCAGGTACGGCTCCGCGGTGCTCCAGCGAGCCACAGCGGCTGGTTCACGTCTGCTGCAACCAAGTGTTGGGGATGAAGCACTGTGGGGTTTTCTCTTCCCAGAAATGTTGCATTGCTGCAATTATTCACGGTCTGTCTGGTGGAGGTTAACTGCTTTTTTTTCTTTTTTTTCTTTTTTTTTTGGAAATTCTTTAATAGCCGGAGCTCAGCGTGAGCAGTGGGACAGCAAACTAATTGCCTCTCTAGCTGTAGAACCATTCTTCTTCCCCCCCATCGGGAGCACACTGAGCAAACTTTTATTATTTTTTTTTTCCTAAAGAAAAGATAAGTTTATTATCCGTGGCTAGACCCATCTGGTTTTGAAGGCTCAGAAAATTTTAGAAAGCACGACAGGGCTTTCATTTGCAGCGGTGATAGAATTGCCTTGCTGGGTCATTTGGACCTTCCAGCTGGTCAGAGAAATCCCCGTGTTTTGGGACTCCTTGGAAAGACTTCTGCAGCCAGCCAGGAACATAACACTATTCCCTCGTGTAGCTCCTGAGCCTCAGCAGTACGTTTTGAAGAGGCTGCAGAGCCCGTGCTGCTTTTTTTTGGGCATGCCAGCTCTCACAGCTGAAAGCTGGTTTGCTCCCTTTTTGATATTTAGACTTAATTTCCTTTAATCGTACTTCAGTTCCTTGTCTGGTGAATCACTGGAAAGTGTAATACGGGGAAACATTCGCACTACATCTCTACTAAGGAGCTGTATGAATTGTGAGCTGGGGCACAGGGAACATCAGCCTTGGGCATTAATCTCTCAGTGAGCAAGAGCTTGCAAAGAACGTGGGGACCAATCCTCATTTCTCAGTTGGGGTGCAGTCTTTTTTGGGGTGCAGTCTTTTTAACGCAGACAGATCAGGCTGGAAAAGAGCAAAGCTGCATCTCCGAATCTTGCTTTTGAAAAAGGAGAGGAAAGGAGGAAAGCTGACCCTGCAGGGGCTGAAAGCTGTGGCCCAGAGGCTGCTGAGAGCTGAGGAGTCCCAAGGTGGACCTGGCAGCTGGTCGCTCTCATCTGCTGGGTGCTCGTCCCCAGACACCATCAGCACTTGTTTGGTTTGGATTTATTTTTGGGGGGCGGGCATTCCTTAGGAATGAGTCACTACGTGCCATTTTCGTCTGCTGCCTATAGACAAACAGCTATATGTTTTTATCAGACAAAAAAAGCACATTTCTCTTCTGCAAGGACACAAAGTCCTAAAAGGTTTGGGTGATGGGCAGAGCAGCAGCACATTGTGCGTGCAAAATGGAAGTGATACCCCTGGGTGCCCAAGCAAGCCCAGCCGTAAGGGCAATAGTGGGCAATTTGCGTTAAATGTTTATTGCTGTTGTGTTTTTTTTAACATGTGAAGTGGGTATACGCAGCTGTCAAAATGGCTTGATTAAAGATAATAACAATCTCAGCCTATTTTGAGGATTCAGGTCATGGAAACAGCTTGAGTTTCTAGTAATTTATAGAGTCATGAGTAATATTGATGGTAGTACATCCTTGTTATCAATTATTTGCCATCTGTTCTTATAGATTTAAGAATAGCAAGCTTTTTTTTTTTATCATCAGAAAGCAACGTGGCTGTGTTTGTGCTCCTCATGTTGAAATAATACTTTATCTTTTTTGAGAGCCCTGCTGTTGCAGTATGAAAGCAATTCCTCGTGGGCCCTCGCTAGTGAAGCGTCGCCTTAATTCCCGTAAAGACTTTCTGACTTGACGACTTGCTCTGTTAATCACACGTTTGATCGGATCAGCCCTTCTCTAAATCAGTAACTTGGTGTTGTGGGTCTTTGAACTCTGTTCCCGGGATGTACAAAATGGCACGCGCCCGCTGCTGCGTATTTTGAGACTGCATCACCCTCCTCCCCCACAGCTGCCCCAACCACAGACGTTTTATTGTTCTCAAAGCTTCCTTTTGAAGACTGTTTCAAGTATTTAACAGGTTGTTTCAGCCTCTCAATTTTTTTTTTCCAGCTTGAGGATGAAGCTCTCAAATATATCGGCGCACATTGTCCTGAACTGGTGACTTTAAACCTTCAGACGTGCTTAGTAAGTAAACTGCCCCGTGATTCCCGCCTGTATTTTGAGGCCATCCCCAAGCAGAACCACGCAGAACGCGCTCGATCCCACAAACATCATCTCTGCAGCCAGGGCAGTTGTAAATTTACGAGACTCTTAAAAAAAACAGTTGATGAAAACCAGCTTTCTGGGAGTGCTCGGCGATGTTGAATAAGCCCCCGAAACAGTGTCCCTGCATTCAGCTCCTCAGCTTTGTCTCCTTGCCCTGCCCGCGGGGCTTCTGAACTCCCTTGCAGGACTAGCTGGAGAAATTCTTTCCACGGGGCTGGAATGCCTGCGTGGCCTTCCTGCCAGCTTCCTCCCAGCTCTCCCCACGCTGAACCAAGAGGGGCGATTTCCCTGCTCAGGACCAGTTGCTCTGCAGTGCCAAAAATGCGTATTTATGCCCCAAATGAAACCGAAGTGGGTTCTTTGGGTGTAATATCCCGCAGTTGGTCTGATGCAGTGGGGATGGGCAGTCCCGGCCCTCTCCCAGGGAGGTGGGCAAGGCCCCTGGGGGCTGTGGGGCTGGGCCCTACGCTGCAGCCCCGGCCCTGTGAGCAGAGCACATGGGATGAGAGGGACCCTCGGTGTCTGGGGACCCAGCCAGGCTGCTGGAGTTGCTGTGCTGTGAGTTTGGCAGGGTCTGGGCTGCGAGGTGGGCTCTTGGCTCTCATGTGGTGGTCCCAAAATGCATTTGTGGGTTGAAAGAAGCAGAATTTGTCCTCGGTTAAGTTCCTGGTTGGAAATCTGAAAGGAAAACACACAGCACGTTGCTCTTCCCCCTCCTGTGTCACGGCCTGTGATGCTGTCCTTGTGTTTCTCGTAGCAAATCACAGACGACGGGCTCATCACGATATGCAGAGGGTGCCACAAGCTGCAATCCCTGTGTGCCTCGGGCTGCTGTAACATCACTGACGCCATCCTGAACGCCCTGGGACAGAACTGCCCCAGGCTGAGGTAAGCTCTCAGCGGGTCCCTGAGCTTTGGTGACCCCTCCGTGTGAGCAGAGGGTCCCGGGGACACGGTCACGTTGTGCTGGAGCTGCTTTGTTACTGCTGAGCTGCGAGGTGACCGTGGGTGTACCCCCCAAAAAAATCCCTCTTCAGTACTGAGAACTGAAAATGCATTTAGACAATATTGTTTCCTCGTAGCGTGTGATACTGGCAGGATTTTCACGGTGATTTTATAGCAGATGGAATTTGTGCTTTCTCTCAAAAGGGCTTCCAGCATCCAGCTTGCTTTTTACTTAAAGATATTTTTTTTTTAATCAGGACAAGTTTTTCCAGGAACATTTTGCTATAATTCAGAAAATGGCCAGGTGCAGGAAGAAGAAATGGTTTTAATCTGGCATCTGTAAGATGGGAGGCCTCTAGTAATTAGCATAAAATACACGGGGGGGGGGGGAGCATCTATTTCCCACAATAAGCTCGTTGCAAGAATTGTGGAGTAAAGCGCAGGGTGCGAGTACCTGGAAACTGGTTGTGAAAGGGGGTGGCAAAATGTGGCTTTGGTTCAGGCCGTTTCTGTGTGTGTTCAGCCGGAGTTCCACACGGACTGGGGAAAATTGGTTTGCCTTTCTCTAAAGGCAGATAAATGTTAGTGCTGTGAAGCAAATCCCCGCAGAGCTGCAGTAAGAAAGCCTGTCTGCTGGCACAGCAGAGAAGACCTGAAGCTCTTCTGTCGAGGTGTTAAATATTTTATTTTCATGTCCCTGTGCCGGGTTGTGGTGCCTCCTGACTTGTATTGCACACTTCTCGTGATGAGCTCTGCGTTTGGGGTAGAAACCAGAGCACTGGGGGCTTTTTTGAGCTCCTTAGTCCAACATTTGTCAGACCAGACCTGCCCTGCCTCGGACTGAGCGAGCCTTGGAGTTCCCCTTTAGCCTGACTTCTCCTTTTCTTCTCCTGTGACCTACGCTCAGGTGTGGAGGGTGGCTGCTCTGTGCAGATCATCCTCAGAGAGCACAGCCTAAACGGGGGCAGGCTTTTCTGGGTTGCTGGAAGCTTTTAATGAAACTCTGAAAAGCAAAACGACTCCACCATGGTTATTATCGATTCTTTCCGTGCAGAATATTAGAAGTTGCAAGGTGTTCTCAGCTAACAGATGTGGGCTTCACTACTCTAGCTAGGGTAAGTGTTCGTTTCCACTCTCCCTCAAGTACTTTTGCTTTCTTTTCGTGATGGATATGAACAAACAGCACCCTTCCCTCTCAAGTGTTGTAATGCTTTTCCTCTTGAAGTGTGGATGGAAGCCAGGTTGTACGTAATTTCTGGTATCTTAAGCATTGTCCTGACCCACGCACCTCAGAGGACTCGCATCTGAACTAAGCGAAATGTTAAATACTTGGGAGCAACAACATTGAATGTTTGTTCTGGATTAATCTGTGTTCTGTACAACTGACCCTGCATTTAAACCCCTTTACTTTCTATAATTAAAAAAAAAAAAATCTCAGTGCGTTTAAATGAGTGAAATTGCTAAATTTCCTTTACTATTTGGTGGTGTTCATAAAGAAGCAGCGAAATTTCTTTTCCATCCCATTGCTTCACGGAGAAAAACCTTTGTTGCTAAAAAGGGCTGTCTGTCTTGTAGACGTCTTTGTGTTTGCTGTCTAAACTTTGCACTGAGTTTTGTGTTTTGTCTTCTGCTTGTTCCCAGAACTGCCACGAGCTTGAAAAAATGGACCTAGAAGAGTGCGTCCAGGTAGGAGGTGCCACCTCTGGCAGTTACTTGTTTGTTTGTTTGTTTTTTAGCACAATCACAGTGGTGTGGAAAGATGGTGAAAAAGCAGCAAGTTGTCTCCAAATGGGAGCTTGATTTAGGATCCCTGAGGAAAAAGATCAGATATCTTTGGACAAGAAAGCGTTGACTTTGTAGTGTAATCCTTTGTTTGTATTTCAGAGCAATAAATGCTACTGTAAGGGTAATAAAATAGATCTGTAATAGCAGTGAGATGTGTCTAGGAGGTCATGTGTCAAAGGTCATAACTCACACACCGATACAAGATAAAGTCCCAGAATAAAATCTTTGCATGTAGGGAAGCTTTGTGCCATATAATACTGCTAGGAATAAAGGAAATTGGGTCGGTTGTTTTTATTTTCATGGAGAAATAACAGCAGGCTGTTGGAACAGCAGTGAATTTTGTACACGGGACATGGAAACAACTTAGAAATAAAACCAGGGTGCCTGTTCCAGTCTTAGCCTTCCTCAAAGGCTGTGGGGTGCGGTGCAACGAGCCTCTTGTTGCCTGTGGACATCCTGGAGGTGTCCTCCTTAATTCCAGGGCTGTGCTGTGCTGTAGGGATGTGCCATAAGCTGGTTACCTTGACAGGGAAAAATCCTTGAAGTTACTCAGGAGCCCAGGACAAATTTCCAGCCTTAAGGACGGATTTGGAGCTGACTGAGGTCCCTGGGTTTTGCTTCCTGCGATGAGAACAAAGTGACCCCCGGTGTTGGTGCTTCCCTGGTGTTTACGGGGCAGAAATTCAGGAGGTCGTAGGAGGAAACTGACAGTAGTCCAGACAGGAAACCATTCAAAGTTAACCCAAAAAGGAAGAAGAAAAATTGGGCTGTGTCCTTGGGCTGCACCGAATTCCCTCTGAAGGCCTTTGGATGAGAAACCCGTTGTGCCCAGGCGCTTTCTTCCCGAAGAAATAACGAACAGCTCAGTGCACGGAGCTGGTGGAAGGGCTTTGAACACCTCCTTGTACTTCAGAGACAAACATTTAGGAGTCGTCGTGTTTCTGCTCGCCTGCTTCACAAGAGCTGCTCCAGGAGGCTCAGAACAGCAGCAGCGCCCGTGCCCTGGCAGTCCTTGAAGGACACGAGTTGAGTTGTGTAAGGGAGCAGAGAAATGTGTACCTCTGGAGCCTGGTCACGCAGGAGATGGGTCCTGAGGAGCTCAGGATGATGCCTGTGGCGAACGGGACCACGGATTAGGCAGAAATTTGCAGTTGGTCTTTGGTAGGGGGGTAAAAAGTCCTTGTGCCAAGCGTCCGACCTGAAAAGCTTTTCTCTTTTCCAGATCACAGACAGCACGCTCATCCAGCTCTCCATACACTGTCCGCGGCTTCAGGTTCTGGTGAGTGTTCTAAGTGAGACTTGGAGTATTTTCTTCCCACAGACAAAGGGATTTCGAGCCCTGCCTGCGGGGATTTATTTGTCTCTGTGACTTCACTGATGTGTTGCGAAGTCTTGGAAGAATTCGGCTAGAAACTTGACCCCAGAGAACCTATTGTCCCTCCCCTACTGCTAGCATGAATCGTGTGCCAGGCACCCACAGCTGCCTGAAAATGAGCTAGAGGACACTGAATTCTGACAGCAGCCTCTGCTTTTCCTCAACACGCTTAGCAGAATCTGTCCACAAGGCAGGCTGTCAGTAACCGCAGGGGAGAGGAGCCTGCAGCCCCTGGGACACGGAGCTGGGCCCGCAATAACCTGTGCCCCTGCGAAAAGCAGCAGGCTGGTGCCCTCTCCTAGACCAAGCCCTCTTCCTCCTCCAGAAGCTGCAGCGTGCAGCCCAAAAAAGCACCAAGCATTGGTGGTGATGCTGCGTTCCTGCTGCTGCTTACACCCAGCGCCAGGGTCCTGCCTCTGATGTGGGAGCCCACAGGTTTTACAGAGGGGGCTTCTCCAGCAGCAGAGGCATTTTTCTGTTCCCTTGCAGTGAACATTTGCTGTCCTGTCTCCTGGACAGCAAACCCTGAGATCCTTTCCCCTCACCTTCCCCCCACCCAGGACCCCAGGGGTGCCTCCAGCACACGGAGAGCACCCGTGGGGTGTTGCACCTACAAACCCTGGCCCAGGTTGTCCCTTGTCCCCAAACCCCCCAGGCAGGGCATTTTGCTGGTGGCAGGGGCCGCTGACCGCCTCCGTTTGGGTGCAGAGCTTGTCCCACTGCGAGCTGATCACGGACGACGGGATCCGCCACCTGGGGAACGGCGCCTGCGCGCACGACCGCCTGGAGGTGATCGAGCTGGACAACTGCCCCCTGATCACCGACGCCTCCCTGGAGCACCTGAAAAGCTGCCACAGCCTGGAGAGGATAGAACTGTACGACTGCCAGCAGATCACGCGGGCGGGGATCAAGAGACTCAGGGTAAAAATTAATGCTAATAATAGTCATTAATAAAAGCACGGCCAGGGCTGTGACTCGGTTGCTTTGTCTGGAGGGGCTGAGGCTGCAGGTTCCTCGTGGTCTGGTGCTTGTTGTGAAAATATTGAGGTCAATCGCCTACCAAATTAATAGAATTAATCGTGCTCCTGTGCTCGGAAGCTTGCGTGGGGCTGGATGCTGGCTGGTCAGGGAGAAATGTAATTGCTGTGTCTTTTTTTGTTTTGTTTTTGTTGTTTTTTTGTACTTGCTACGTGGCCGTTTGGGTGGGCGAGGAGCCGGAGCAGCTCTGTCAGTAGCCGTGGGGCCGTCTGAGGCACCCTGAGCCCCGTGCCTCAGTTTCCCCACCCATTAGAGAGGGATAGGAGTCCGGGCTGGTTTGCAGAGCACGAGGTCGGTGCGGGATTAATGCAGAGGAAGGGGTGCCACCAGTTCCCACTCCCCGCAGCTGTTTTCTGCTAACAGAATTTGCCAATCCACGGTTTGTTTTTTTTTTGTTTTTTTTTTAATATAAAAATCCCGTTTTTAACCCCGCGGGCTGTGCTTGTCGTTGCAGACCCACCTCCCCAACATCAAAGTCCATGCCTACTTCGCGCCCGTGACCCCCCCACCGTCGGTGGGGGGCAGCAGGCAGCGCTTCTGCAGATGCTGCATCATCCTATGACGGCGGCGGCGGCCGGCCTCGCGGACTGAGTATTTAATGACACCCCTAGAGTCACGGTGGACACCAGAACCCTCGAGGAAAGCGATCCCAGAGTCATTCGCAAGGGGCCAGTGAGCGGGGCCGTGGCGCCAGGCCCCCCCCCCGTAGCCACCCATCCGCATCCATCCGCACCCCCCACCTGCTCCAGCGAACCGCTGAACTCTCTCCGCGCCCTCCCAGAGCTGGAGCCCTCGGCTTTTTTTTTTCTGTAGGTGGCTTGGGAGAACTCGGAACCATTCCTGCTGGGCACGCTCGGACAAAAGCGCTGCGGAGAGGAGGCTTTGGTGAAGCCCAACGGACTTTGTTTGCTGCGGAGGAGGAGGAGGAGGAGGTTGGAGCAGTAACTGCAGCCCTCGGAAACGGGGAGAGGACGGATCGTGCTTGAACCCTGCATCCGCTGGCCAGGAGGGGGAAGGAAAACAAAAACAAAAACAAAAAAACAGGAAAAGAAAACCCCAACGAGTTCCGTGTCCGTTTTTCAGCCAGGGGACGAGCCAGCGCAGCTCCCTCGTGCTCCTCTGCTTCCCCTTCCCGGCCGGGCACGCTCACGTTGAAGGTTCGCCCCCTTCGCCCCCTCCGTGCTCGGCAGCACCCGGCTCAGCGCCTCCCTAGGTTGTTGTGATGTAGCTCCAAGTCTGTAACGTCAGGCTCAGTTGTTTTGTTCCTTTTTTCCTTTTTTTTTTTTTTACCCTTCCCACACCCTGCTCTTCTTTTTTTCCTTCCCCTCCCGATCTGTAATTCAGTCCTTCTGAGATTCACCAAACGAAAGTCACGGAAACAATCTGAGCTTTTTTCTTTTTTTATTTTTTCCCCCACCGCTGGGAGCCTGAAGTGACCCTTTGGGAAGGTTTTTCCACCCAAAACCAGCTGCGCTCCTCGGCTCCTTGGGCTGTTTTACCCGGAGGCTGGCTGGCTGCGTTTGTTTTGCATTTCAGGTTTAACCCCAGGGGTGAGAAATCCCCCTCGATGTAGGGGGACGAGTTAGAGCCCGTTCCGGTGACCGTAAGTCCCCCGCTCTGCCTCTTCCCCCCCTTTTCCTCCCCCTACAAAAAGCAAAGTAGGGAATTAGGGGCTGCTGCTCCCTGCCCCGGCCGGGAGCCAAGGACCCCGTAACGCAGCGGGGCCGTGGGCACCTGGTGCCGAGCGCTTTTCTCCCTTTGGCATCTTCCGCAGGTAAGTGAAGGATGAAAGGAGTGGAAAAGAGGTGAAAAAGAGGTGAAAAGGAGGTTTTGCCATCTGCCAGCTGTTGTGCACACCCAGGGGGTGCCCACAGCAGCCGCTTTTGGGGCGTTTCAGGTGGGATTGACCCCGGTGCTTCAACGGGGGAGCTTGGCCGGGGGGGTACCAGGGCAGGGCTTGGGGGAAGCGTAGCCAGGAGCACGTCTTAAATCGGGGGCGCCCCCCTCCTGCTGGAGTCCTGCTGTGGGGAGCAGCTTTTGGGGTCCCCAGGGCTCCTTTAGGGCCAGGGGCTTGCTCTGAGGGTGCTCCGAAGGTCACTCAGCGCCACCAGCCCCCTATAACCCGGCCTTGTCCCCCCCCCCCGGTGTGTGTTTAATGGAGCCTGCGGGGGGGGCAGCTGCCAGCTCCCTCCCCGGCTGCTCGCAGTCGCTGCCATTTACCCAAATCCTCCAAATTTTACCCAAAGCACCTTCCGCACCCTCCTCCCCCACAGCGCTCCCTGCTCTGGTTAAATTTTTATTTTTTGGGTGGGGGGGGGTGCTGAGCCAGGAGGAGCCGAGAGCAGGCTGCAGCTGCCTCGTAGCAGAGGTTTTTTTTGGGGGGAAAAAAGGCCCGAATCCTGAACCCAAAGCCTCCTCCGTTCCCTTTGGTGGTGTTTTTCGGGCGGGGGGGGGAGGGGGAGGGGGGGGGCAGCGCGCAGCGTCCTGCAGGCGGTTGTGTCTCCATGGACTCTCCCCGGTGTTTGTATTTATAAGTACCAATAAACACCATTTTCCAAGCCTCGCCTTACCGGGGGGAGCACCTCTCTAGGGAGAAATGGGGGGGTGAGGGGTGGGGGGAAATTGGAATAAATGGGGCTGGGGGCTGCGGGGTGGGGGCGCTGGGGGCTCTTGAGGAAGGTCCTGACCCCCTTAGGGCTGCTCTGGAGGGGTGAGGGAGGCTGGGGGGGGGCTCAGGGCCCTTTTTGAGGGGGGCATTAAGTACCGAGGGGGGCATTTGGGTCCGGATTTGGTGTATTTTTTTGGGGAGGGGGCATGAAAGGGAGGGGGCAGTGGCATTGAGCACCCCCTGGGAGTCAATGAGGGCAGTGGGGCCTTATTATGGGGGCTGACTGCAGATTGGGGGGGGTCCCATGGGTGCTACCCCCCCATGTGTATCGCCCTGGGGGGGTCCAAGCCCTGCCCCCCCTGTGTGGACAACAGCCAGTGAGCAAGCTTGGACTTGTACATCCTCTCCCCCCAGCCCCCCCCCGTGGGGTTGGCCCAGCAACAGCATGAGCTCAAGGCTCTCGTGACCAGTTCGTGACCAAGAGGGGGGAGGAAACAGAAAAGGGGGGGGTTGGGTGGTGCACCAGGGCTGTGCCCCCCCCGGTGTCCCCCCCAGCTTGCTGCCTCCCCCCTCCCACACCCCCAGGAGCTGCATTTGGGGCCATTAAATTGAGGCCGAGGGCTCCCTGCCCCCACCTCCAGCTGCTCTGTGCCCCCCCCACAGCCCTCCCTGCAGCTCTGGGGGGCAACAACACGTTTTGGGGGGGGCAGCAGGTCCAGCAGGGCCCCTTTTGGTGCCCCCAAGCACTCCCAGCCTGTGCTGGGAGCCCCAACTGGGCCAGGGAGATGGGGGCACTGCACCCCCCCTTCACCCCCAGTCCTTCCCAGTTCACCCCCAGCCCTTCCCAGCCCCCCAGGGAGCCAGCCAAGGCACAGCAGCTGTGGAAGCGGTGTTTTAGGCGTTTTATTCGACCCCGGGGGCTGCAAAGCTCTACGTACACAGCCCAGGCGGCGCTCACTTCTTGGTCTCCTCCTCCTTGGAGAGGGTTTTGATGATCTCCTCCTTCTTGGCCTGCAGGCGCTCCTCGCGGCGCTTCCGAGCCTCCTTGGTCTTGGACCTGCGAGCCTCGGCCTGGTCGCTGCGAGGAAGGAAGATGCTGAAGGTGGAAAACCCCAAAGAGCCCCCCGAGGAGGCCGTCGGCGCTGGCCCCGTCCCCACTTTAGTGCTGGTAGGAGCAGGGCAGCTCCCCGAGGAGGTCTGACCTTCCCCAAGCCCTCACGGCTCTCATCCTCACTAGAGGACAAGTTAAAGACAGCAGCTTTGTTCTTTAAATCCCATCTGCCTCAGGATTTATGGTAAAATACCACCTCATGCTTGCCCTGTCATCATTCCCTATCTAAGCGGGGTCGGCAGGGCATAGGGAGCTCTGCCAGGATCCCTGCTCCCTTCTGATTCCTCCCCAGGGCTCCAAACAGCTCCACCAATTCAGGAGGAGCCCCCTGAATTTACCAGCCTGCGATTATTTAAACAAAAATCCCCTCTCGCAGCTCGCAGGCGGGAGCTCAGCAGCTCAGCAGCACTTACGCCAGGAGCTTCTTGCGAGCTTTGTCCGCCTTCAGCTTGTGGATGTGCTCCATCAGGATGCGCTTGTTCTTGAACACGTTGCCCTTCACCTTCAGGTACAGGCTGTGGTACCTGCGGGAGCAGAAGGAAGCGTGAGAGGCTGCCCAGGGGTCCAACCACAGCAGCTTCCAGGTGCCTCACACCCTTTCAGCAGGTTTTCTACAGAGGATTCATTTCCATCAGCAAGCTCCACGCCAAGGAGCCGCCTGTAAAGCTGCCCGGAGCACGGAGGGCACAGGGAAGGCCGGGGATGTGCCCCCAAAAGGCTCACATGTGGCGGTCGATCTTCTTGGACTCCCTGTATCTGCGGAGCAGGCGCCTCAGGATCCGCATCCTCCTCATCCAGGTCACCTTCTCGGGCATCCGAGCGTTGGCCGTACCCTTCCTCTTACCTGGGGGGGGGGAAGGAAACTGAGGTGAGGACACCTACCAGGCTGCTGCCAGGCGGGCACAACGCTCCCGTTAGCATTTAATCCCCCTCTGCTAACACAGAATGAACTCTGCAGCAAGATCTCTGCAGAATTTTGCTCAATACAAGCCTGTAGGTGTGCCAAGGAACACAAAAATCGACCATTTCCCTCAGCACTCACCGATGCCCATGTGCCTGCCCTTCCGGCGGGCCAAGGTGTTCTTCCTGCAGCGGGCACGGGAGTGAACGGTCACGGGCTTGCGGATGATGAGCCCATCCTTGATCAGCTTCCTGATCTGCTGACCTGGAGGGATGAAGGAATAAACGCGTTCAACATCTTAGTTGAACATATCAACATATCAACATATAGGGACTAACAGAAACCACAATCAACTAGGATACGGACACGCCAGCCATGACTCCAGCGCCACAAAGGGGCTGTGGAGGTGCTCTTTCCCCTCTCCCCATCCCATTTCTCCCTCGTTTGTCATCCTGGAGAACAACATGGATGGAGCATGCCCCAAGGCCCTGCCGGGCACCACGTTCCTGTGAGCGTGATGGGGGAGCTCTGCAAATCCTGCTGGTGATGGGATTCCACCCTACAGCACACAGCAGCTGCCCAGATGTCAGAATTGTACCCGGGCCACCACCACAGCTACTGAGCAGCTCACAAATCCCCACCTGGCCCACCCGATGCCCCCCTTTCCCCCGAGGGAGGTGCCCCAGGCCCCCTTACGTGAGTTGGCGTTGGCGATCTCGTTGGTCTCATTGGGATCCAGCCAGACCTTCTTCTTGCCACAGCGCAGGACGCTGGAGGCCAGCCTCTTCTGCAGCCGGAGCATACTGCGGGCAGGCAGAGTGGCAGCTCAGCTGCTGGAGGGGCCCCTGAGCCCCCCTCGGGACCCCCCTGAGCCCCCCTCTGGCCCCCCTGGAGCCCCCTCAACCCCATGAGCCCACTCTGAGGGACCTCTGAGCCCCCCCTCTGCCTCCCCTAAGTCCCCCTCAGATGCCCCCAAGCGTCCCTCACCCCCCTTAGCCCCGATCACATCCTCCCGAGCCCCCTCAGGTCACCCTAAGGGACCCCTGAGGCCCTTCAGGTCCCCTCAGCCCCCTCCCAACCCCCCCTCAGGACCCCCGAACCCTCTCAACCCCCTCAGGGTCCCCCCCAATCCCCCCTCAGGACCCTGAGCGAC